GTCCACGGGGAACAATTGCAAGCCCCGACGGTGACGAAACACTTTGCCAAACCATTTCGGGTCAGGATTCAAAACTCGCTGGCACCGTCGTTATAGCGCACCTGGGGCCCGGACACCTAAGGGCAACATAAACCCGTTATTGCTCAATTTCGTGCAGCCTAAGTGTGTCGCTTGTTATTTCAGTTGAAACAATTTCGTGGTCTTCAACAGTTTAAATATAAACTTAAGCGTATATTTGTAAAATGCGCATGGGTCATCAAGTTCCGAAACGTTAGGTAACATGACTCACAGTCGGTTACAATGACGCTAAAACACTCACTTATCTCCTGATATTTTGCTATTTAGTTATTTTATGTTATGTTTCGCGATATTTGTACGCGTAAATTACCTCGTTGAGGTTCGTGTTATCATCATGACCAATCTGTAGAGACCTTGAATGATATGTCTCAAATCTTTCGCAATGGCTTACGCGTATTCACTCTTCATTTTCCCTTATATTTTAATTTCTTCATAGATATTTTTTATCCCACTAATTTGTAACTTTTTAATGATTAAATTCATGAGCCAATTCAAGCTAGACCACCATGGAAAACCTGGAAGCACTGGATGACCGATTCGTCTTAGGATAGGACTCGTCGACAGTGAGCGTCGACGATCCCGCCTCACCGGATTTGAACCCAGGACCTATCAGTTTTGCGCGTGAACGCTTAAACTGTAGATCACTGAGCCGGTCGGCATTCAATGGTGTTAATGTCTAACTTCAAGCAATTCACGAAATGGCACCACCGTCCACTTTTTCTATAATTGTATCTTGGATGCTTAATCTTTTCTATTAATAGGACTCCTGTCGATCTGTGCAAACACTTTCATCTAGCTGTACTATAAAATACACCAACCTGAACTGATGTACACGTGTTACCTTTGAAATTGCTCGAATTGATGTACATACATGTACGAAGTTCTACGTTGTTACCGACAATCCATAGTCGGATATAAGCCGTTAATCCTGAAAGGTTATTAATCATTTTGTCTCGACGTGCGATGTTCAGTGGTATAGGAGTAAGCTGGAAGAAAGTTAGGGGCGGCCAGACCAAAACAGGGTACAAGTTCATGAAGTCACTGACAAGTGGTCTAAGTCATGTCGGTAGGTGTAGACTACCTGGTTGGGGACCGATGGTTAGAGACCCTGAATGACATGGCTCAAAATCGTTTGCAATGGCGCAGGTGCATACACACTTTGTGTTCTCTCAAATTTTGATCTTGTTATTCCTCCTTGTCTCTTTTTTTTTCTCCTCTCAAATTTATTTCACTGTATTATACTATTTAAGTAACATCTCCAAACATTAATCTTCCCGATTACTGCCTATACTCTTATTACCTCTACTACTACGGGATTTGAATCGACCACTGCATCTCTGTGCTAATGTGGTATGGAAACTCGAACTGATGTAAGTACGTACGAAGTTCTACGTTGTTACTGACTGACTGATTTTGTCACATATATCCTTACATAGTACAATCAACATTATATCATAGAAATAATTCCATCATATCATAATATTGAAAAGAAGAGGAACAAAAAACAACCCGCAAAAAACATTAGCCTGAATTGCATCAAATTACAACAGAAAGAAAAAAAAACTTTTGTATCTAACATGTATACATACAGATGTGAATGTGTAAAGGGAAAAAAACACCCTTTTTTCGTTCTTTGTTTGCTTGAAACAAAAAAAGGAAAAGAAAAACAAACAGGTTACACACAGAAACCTTCCTGTCAAACTTATCAGTAATCATTATTAATAAATTATTATGAATATAAGGGAATGACAATCAATTGAAAGGATATGAAAAATAATAATAAGCTTTTATGCAACAGAAAGAAACAAGCAGGTACAATAGTGCCATCACACACACACAAATCATTCTATAATAAGCCTATGCTTTGAAGTATTTTACATATCATGTAATTACTATCATTTAAGTAGTATTAGTAGTAGAAGAAGAAGAAGTAGTAATATCAACAACATAGTTACTTATACACTCAAATCAAAATTTAGCGTCATATGTTCATTTGTCAATCATATGAAAACATGTTATATCAAGTGTCAGAATAATGATTTGAAAAAGGAATACGAAATTATTGAAGAGAAGAAAAGGAAGCAAAAATCGAATGAGTACAATCGGATAAATAAATATACATATGCATATATGCATAAACACCTTGTACGACATATGGTCATCCATTTCCTATAAAGGTGAGAATAATGTAAAAATATGAAGACAATAGAAGTTAAATTTATTGGAAGCACTTGTTCACTACTGCTACTACTACTATCATTCAAACTTTCACTTTATCATATGGTAGATATTCATGGTCAAAATGATTTATTCTATACTTTCTCTTGTATTAGGAGATGAGTGACAACGCTTACCATTGATAATGTCGTTAGGAGAGGTATATATATGTGAGTGTATGTGTTAAGATCAAGAACGGTTGATTGTTGTAAACAATGAGAATTATGGTAGACAAACCTTTGTGCACTTTCGAAGAAAACAAATATAAGAATACTCATTTTATTGTATACGGTAAAAAAAAGCCAAGGAAAAGCACACACACACACAATAATACATAAATATAAATACAGATGAGCGCACTTAAGTTTATGTATTGGTTACAATACAAATCAAAATAATGATAAACATTACGCTACACATATGCAGCGAAAAAGAAATTTAAAAAAAAAAGCAGAACTGAACAAGGAGAAAAACTGAAGAAAAACAAAAACAACAAGATACAACAAGACAAAATCATTCGAAAGTAATATGTATGTATTATGTAGCAGCTATAAGCGCAACTACAGATATACATAAAGGAGAAAGGATTCACCAATACAACCTAACTATCATAAAATTGGAAGCGATTATTGAATAATAATAATAATAAAGAGATTTTATATTTTGTATGTCTATGAATGAGAAGTCAAAAAATCCACTACCTAGCCATGTACAGAATTCAAACAATAAAACTATGTACAGGCACATGAATACACAAACAAGTACATATATATTAACCAATATAATTATGGAATTACAATATTGGTCACAATTGGACCCTGGGATAAAGGAAGAGATTGTATATGCATAGCAATATCAGCGCCGGCAATAACAGTAGTTCTTTTATCAATTCCTTTTCTCTTTTAAATGTTCTTTTTTTTCTTTCTTTCTCTCTTCATAATGAACCATAGAGACAATATTCATTGATGAAAGCGTAGAATGATTTAGAACAATAACAAAATAACAATGATATCTTTTTGAGAGAGAGAGAGAGAAATGAAGGAAACAATAATAACATGACTGAATTCACTATCCTTAAAGAAAACCGTTAAACAGTATGGGTATATATATATAAAAAAAGCGTATTATTGAGAGAATTGTCAATCGGTTAAAAGAAAGAAAGAGAGAGAGAAAAAAATACAAAAACAAAAAACAACATTCTCACCTCAGACAAGAATTATTCCATAAAACAACAATTGATACTACTGAAAAATCAAATGTAGTCGTTTCTATGCTCAGAAAATATTGTGTAACATATTACAAAAGAAAAACACACAAAATAATACAAGTATAGAACAAAGACAAAGGATTACACAATAATAATAATAAACAATGGTAGTCAAAATAATATTCAAGAATAATGTTTGTTTGTTTGTTAGTGTGTGCGTGTGTGTATGAGCAAGTGAGTAAGTGGGAACATGCACACACACACACACTTTAAAAACACCTAAACAGCAAAAAAAACGGGAAAGAACAGTCCTTTGTAATTACGCTTTTTTTGTATGTTTATCTATATACTTAATTCTTCGGTATTGAACAATGAGACTCTACACATAAGACATATTAGATGTTTGAATGTGTTGGAATTATGACGTAACAAGAAAAACATATACAAACAAAGGGAGAGAGAGAGAGGAAGATAGAAAGAAAAAGAAAAAACGAGAAAAATTGAAAGTAGAGAAATAGAATGGGTCATTCTTTCATATTATAAACTCTCTCATTTAATGTTCATCTATCCTTGAATATGTACATGTTGTAATAATGAGAGAATAATGAAAAAGGCCACTTTGAAAGACACAACTCTAATAAGGGTAATGATGTATTTGTGTATAAATGATAAATGGGCACACAAAAAAATTATTTTAAAAAAAACACCAACACTATTTTACCTATCTCTATGAAAAGAAAGAAAGAAAGAAGGGAAAAACAACTCGACATCATTATTATATCATCCATACACGTAGATTATACAAAAATGAAAAGCTGTTTCGTAAGGAAAACAAAAAAAAGAAAAAAAAAACAACACAAACGGATAAAGAAATAATTCATTATTAAAAAGACTTATTGCTGAGATAAAATAAAATCAAGGAAAAAAGGGGGGAAGGGGGTGACAGAAACACAATAAATAGATGAATCCTGAGATTTTTATTTTTAGCAAAAAAAGTTTATGTATCCAATGAATTTTTATCCGGTCATTATTAACTGTCTTATCCAATATATCGGTGGTTACTACATTGTTGTTATCAGTAGTAGTAATAGTAGTAGTGGTAGTATCCAGTAAATGCTAAAACGACAACATAAAGGTGAGGAGGCCAGAACAGGACATGAAATAATTCATTATACGACACGATTATGTCACAATTATAGGTATTGTGATGTGAAAAAAGAAACACGAAAGGAACAAAACGAGAGAAAGGCGAAGCAAATATCATGTGTACAAACACATATACATTATTATAATACAATAGTAGCTATAGCAACAATAATAATCATAATAATACACCGTTCAAATTAATCAACAGAAAATATCAAAATGTATCAAAGCAATTATAACACACTGGAATTACATACATGTATAAACACACAAACAAACATGAGTATCATCGTCGTTACCATAACTCTTTTCTGGATGAGACAGACACGGATACCAGACGACGGTAGAAATACTAGATAAACTGAGATCGAAGACGTCGATTTTTAGACCGTTGACCAAAGCAGCCACAACAACTATGTACATTAAAAAAAAGAAAATATAATGTTTTCATTGACAGTAATATCACGTACACAGACAAGGAATAGAATAATAATAATAATTGATAAATAAATAAGTACCAATAGTGACGATAATAATGATAAAAATAATGGTAATAATAACAATCATTATGTCCCCAGTAAAGACTAACTTCAATAGGCAACTAATGGAGTTCTAGTGAGAAACCATGACTAGTGCAGCTCAACCATATTGAGTGTACGACAGACATCCTCCACAGTCAATAGATCAAGCTTAAGCAACGTTGGGAATTAATTGAAGTTACACAGTAACACTTTTGGATGCCGACTCAGTGGTATAAAGGTTGCGAGTTCACTCATAAGATCGACGGTGGTAGGTTCAATTTTCAGATGTGTGGTCATAGTTAGGTGTCCCATACGTGGACGGAATGGTCATCTAGCGCTCCCACATTTCCGAAAGAGGACTAGCTTAAATCAGTTGGTGATCTACCCCTAAATGCACTGGAACGACAGAAAGTGAGAAAAGTCCGCACTGCTCCAAATGCTCTCACATGGTCATACATATATAGCCACTGCCAAGCTAGTCTTGCTCACTACCTTCTCGAGAAGGGACTGCTGTTCACGAAATCGAGAGGATGAAGAAGCAAATTTTCGGAGCCTTAAAGCGGATGTTAGACATGGAGGATCCATCTAGAGAGGTTGGAAAACCCTAATTCCAAACCAATGGTGAACATTGACTCCCAGAATCCTGAGGGAACAAATGGAGTAGGAACCCCAATCTTGATCACAGACTACAATGTAATCGTATCTCACAATGTTGCTACACTGTCTTGTGGATAAGACCTCTAAGTTGAAGCCTCAGGGATGTATAGATTTCGGCATCTTAGTAGTATTCCACACCTCATATAAATCTAGTGATCTGTATGACGTACATATATTTTGGTGCCCACTTGCCTTTTTCATGGGGGGAGGGGTTCTGCCATATCAAAATAAATAAATAAACTGCGAGATGAAGACAAAGATACGCATCTGTTGCTGAATGAGTCAGCAATCCCGTTGCCTATTGAATAAAAAATAATTCCCAACTTACTCTATGTAATTTTAAATTTTACCATGATATTAGCATTTATTCTGTCCTAAAATGCACAATGGTATGGAAACGTGTATGATGAATATTTCAAAAGATTATACGAACACATCATACATATACACATACATACAGTGCTGAGGAGTTCCATAATAGGATGGAACGACCGTCCAGTGCTTCCAGGTTTTCCATGGTGGTCTAGCTTCAATTGACTCATGATCTCAACCGTTGAAATAAAGGGATAAGTTTAATAATAACTCATTTTATTTCGAATAAGTAGAAGAGATGAGATTTTCAGTTGATCAAATAAACTTTCTGTAATAATATCGATGTTAAACGTGAAATATTAACTAAGAAGAGGAATGTAGATGAACTAACACAAAAAAGACTACAAATTGGTAAACAAAACAAATAAGAAAATTATCTCAAACCCATACATACAAAGTGTTTAAGTCATCAGTATAAAGATTAAGTGTTTTCGAACTAAAGATTATTCTATATTATGAGATCGTCCTTCCAACTCTCTTCTCAAGAAAGAAAACATTGCAAACTTACCCTGATTGACTTTGTATATCATCTTGTTCAGCGCCAACTACATTTTCAGGTGATGATTCTGTTGTTGTCATGCCAACTCCCATGCCTAAATTGTCATCAATATCTCGAGCCATAGTTTCTTCTGGACCACCGCCACTGTATAAACCGGTTATATTCCGAATATGTGTACCACCGGCATTTGTACCGGATACAGCACCACCGCCACCATATGGCAAACCGCTAGAGTTTGAAGTGGGCATAGCACCACCGCCGCCAACACCAGTAGGTCCAACATCATCTACAATACCGTCATTAGGTGAACCAATTTTATTAGCACCAAGAAGACCGGTATGCATAATAGTTTGATTTGTTGTTTGCTAATAAAAGAAGTAGATGAATGCATACAATAATGAAAAATTTAATGGATGTACACTTTGGAAGTAAACAAAATTAACAACATTTTAATGTAAATCTTAATATATATGTATAAACTAACCTGACCAAAATAGGAAGGTAAATATTCATCAACTTTATATCTTAATTCATTTGGTGATGTACCGCCATCTTCATTTATATAACTGGGTACATTATTTGATTGTCCAGTAGGTGGCCAATGAGATGTACCAGGATCTAATAAAGGTGTTCCAGTTAATCCCATTGCATGATGACCACCATTAACACCAGGACTTTGTTGATTACCATTCACTGGATGATGAGTAGGAGAAGTAAGTCCAGATGTGTTTTGTACACCATTATTCATACAACTAGCATTCGCAGCAGGAACGTTAGTTAAGGGTGGATTTACTGCCTGTCCGCCAGATGTATGTGTAGATCCTGGAGGCTAAAACCCATAGGGAAGATGAATAACAACAATAGTAAATGATACGTTATTAAATAGTGAGTAGTAAGAAAACTTCAAAATATGTTGAAGACCGTCCGATAAATGACTCTCATTATTATATTCACAAGTGAATTTCGATGCAGATAGAAACTCGTCAGACAAATTAATGATACAAACCGAAGTCTTTGGGTTATAACGCTCGATTTCCCATGTCCATACGAACAGGATGTTAATTTGCTTTAGACGAATATCTACACTAGATCCCGTTCCAGTGTCTATACCGCAGGACTTTAACACAACTCAGATCAAGAACACGTGATTAACCTGGCTAGAACGTAAATATATTTCCACATCAAAAACCGACACAATCCAACAACAATCACAGTGATAATAAAGGAAAAGTAATGTATAATTCATCTCGTACCTGTCAGACTGTCTATAAGTTTAACTAAGCAAACAACCAATCATTATCATCCTCATACACATATCAATCGGTGAAATAAGAATGTTTTTTATCAGCGTTTATCAAGTTAGATGATTACAGTTAAAAATGTATATAGCGAGTGCAAATACGAACCGTAACACGACAAGTTGTATTTGAGATGATTTAAAGGGGGAATAATATTATCAATATATGGGGACTTGTGGAGATTGTAAAATCGTACCGATTTAAAACACGAATTGATCTTAGATAGATCTCTTTCGAAAGTGTGGGAGCACTGGATAACCGTTCCTTCCAAGTATGGGACTCCCAAGTAATGCCTAACTATGACCACACATCTGAGAATTGAACCTACAACCGTCGATCTTATGAGTGAACTCGCAACCTTTATACCACTGAGTCGGCATCCAAAAGTGTTACTGTGTAACTTCAATTAATTCCCAACGTTGCTTAAGCTTGATCTATTGACTGTGGAGGATGTCTGTCGTACACTCAATATGGTTGAGCTGCACTAGTCATGGTTTCTCACTAGAACTCCACTAGTTGCCTATTGAAGTTAGTCAGCTGTCGTTTAAAGTTTAAGTGTTTATGTACAAGACTGAAGGTCGTGGGTGTGCGCGGCTAAGATGTCCCATTTTGGGATGAAAGCCCTTCTAATACTCCCAGGTTTTTAATGATAGTCTAACTAGAACTAGTCCATGATTTCAATTATGAAATATATTTGTTATATATTCCTGAAAACCAGTAGAAAAGTATATTCCTCTAATTGTAAATATGAGGTAAGAGGTAAGAAAACGTGTAGACTGTTGGTCTCAGCTAAGTAGTGTGAACATCCCCATACATTCACGTCCAATAGTTAGTGATTCTATGAACTAATAATATATCTCAATGTGATGTGACCTCAACCTTCTTCCAACCTACTTCTCCTATGATGGACAATTTATCCAGTTTGAGGAGATATAAGCAATAATATCCCAATAAATTCAATTGATGAGAATTGTCCTGCCTAATATATCGACAGACCAATTTATACCTAGAATTGAGCGTTAATTTTCTGGTTGTTAGGTCAAGCATGATGAATGCTCTAAAGATATCTATGATACAAATAACGGCAACTTGCATATACTTCCGAAGATCTAAGATCAATTTTCACATTCACTAAGTCATACAAAACGAATTGATGTGTGACAATACTTGTCCTATGGTAGGTACACAGGTGTCTCGAACTTGTCACAGATGGCACCCGATGTATGTCGTCAGTCAATGACCCAAACTCTCATCGGTTAAGCCGGAAAACTAGACAGCCAAACTAATTTTAAAGAATTTCAATGAGCTAGTAATGTTACCAATAATGAGTTTAGGTCTTAACCTTATCTCTATTTTTAATTCAAGTAATTTTATGGTATGAATAATCTATACACAAAATAATTTAACCAAGGCATCTACAGGATAGAATTCTGACTTGTTATCAGCAATTTTAGTAAATATAATAACCCTATTCAATTAAAATTGATACATACGTATGAACATTTACTAATCCCTATTAAAGATGATGACATTCACTGGATGACATGAACTATGCGTTAACAGGTTTGGTGCAAGTCGTCCATCCGGAACGAAATAGTCATTTATAGGTACTTTCTAAAAGTAAGGATAGATACTCTAACATTTATTGCTAGATGCTTGGTGGTAGTTGAGTTGTAAACAGAACAGCTTAGTGGTAACGTCTCAATATGTGAAGCTGGGAGACAAGATTTCGAATCTCACAAGGAACATCAGCTCCCTCAAGATTCTAGGTAAGCCATGCTAATGGGGACCAAATCTACATCTAGAGTCTCCTGTCGAGTACTTTTAATCGAGCCACTCAGGTTTTTGGCTACATTACAACTATCTTGATCGAATTTGATCAGCACTTAAAGACCAGACAAACTGAACATTGGTCATTACTTAGTAACTAATCAATTCTAACATTCAATATATACATATATAGTTTACTTTAGATCCAGGTAACGGTCGACTGCACCAATCGAATTCCCAATCACATTCCCAACCTTTTCTTTGCATTAAATCAGTGAATCCCCAACGTAAATACTCATAGTTAGGTTCTTCAAAAAAATCTAAACTTCGAACATATCGTAAATAGGTAGCCATTTCTAAAAGAAAACATCAAAAAAAAAATTGGCATAACATAAACAAACTATTAACCTGGTAAATAATTGAATTGAATTTGAGTTTTCAAGTGTGTTACAACTTTCACACATATATATAATGAGCAATTACTGAATTATTATTTAAGTAAATATGAATCAATTCATGTGCTTTAAAACGTTGAGTTACAGTTTTGATGTGAAAAAAAAGAGATGAAAGCACAGGGATTTCAACTGTCGGATTGTCACTTTCAACCTGATCTCAACTACATCCTCATTAATTGGTTAGCACAATGAATGATTCTCATTTATTTAAAAACTATAAGAGTTTATGCATTCTGATTTGAGTCAAACTTTAATTGTATGAGGCCTAGTGAAACTAACCGGATGCCTAAATCAATGTATGTCGAGTGGGGTTCGAACTAGTAACCTATAAGTCACTAACAGACAAGTCCTCTAACTGATAAGTCAATGTTCAACAAGATAATACTACAACTAATCTTCACATAAAAATTTTGGTTTACGACCCCCAAATTTCCTGATACAACTGAGGTGAAGATTTTTTATTCAGAAAAATTTTAGGAAGATGTTTTATGCACAGAAATGGACGATTTGATTGTTTTCTAGACAATGGCATAAGTGAATCAACATTAGACTTAGATAAAGCAGCATTACATAAAATGAAATTATATAAGCGGATAGGTAGTCATTAAAACCATGCTTCTTCTTTAACAAAGCTTATTACTGTCGGTACCATCACCACATTATACATCAAAAAACGAGTCTTCATGGGTTGATGTAGTTAAGACATGCATTATGTATGCAAAACAATCGCCAACCTCCATGCGAGAGTCGAGCTGGTGTGAAAGTAGGCAGGAATTAGGCTGAAGGTGAATAAACCAAGAGGCGATGTCCGTCCATGAAGGTGGTTTTCTTAGGGGATAGAGTCCCCGGTCCTCTGATTTCGAGGTTTCATTCACAAGGCAGTAGAGCAACGTCAGAGATGCAGTCACATGGTGAACGGTGACCCAAAATTGGTTCATACTCAATCTACTCCCTTAGGATCCTGAAGCTCATGTGTACCATTGGTTTCGAATAAGGGTTTTTCAACTTCCTCTATATTTACCATTCCGTTTAAGGTGATGAACGTTCGCGTTTCTTCCTCTCAATTTCGTGAACAGCAGCCCCTTCTCGAGAAGGTAGTGAGCAAGACTAGCTTGGCAGTGGCTATTTATGTGTGACCATTTGAGAGGGCGAGCGAAATCTCCTCACCCTCAGACGTACCAAAGAATATGGGGGCTGTAACCAATGGTTGGAGACTTTGAGTGACATGGCTTAGAATCTATTACAACAGCGCAGATTTATTCACTCTTTACCTTCTCTGAGATCACAAATTTGAGAACTTATTTACATTTTCTATTCAGTAAATTCACTCCTTTTCAAATCATATTGTCTATGGTTATTCTTTTTTACTTTAGTTAGTACTGTTACTACTCCTAATACTCTGTGATTGATCTAGATAATGTTATCGCACAAAGTGAGAAATTGAACTGATACACATATATCCCGGTTCTAAATTCCTTATAACTGACTAACTGACTGACTAACTTTTATAACATGCTATCATTCGTATCGCAAGTTTAAACCTAGAAGTAAATCAATACTTGAAAACAAATATAAGCTAAGAATAAAAATCATCAAACAATACCATTAAGAAACATCCTTGATAAACGTATATTGACGTTTCACCATTATTATTATGATTATTATATTCAAGAAAAGAATAATAGTTGACAAGAAAAACCCAAGGAAAGCAACACACTTAGTTGGAATGTCATAAAAAGATCATAGAACACCATGATACATAGGCATAACCTAAACAATTTGATTAGAATGAGAAAAGTGTACAACATTCAGTATAGATTTGTACTAGTTCACATCTATCATAGAAATGAATCATGAAAAAACTACATAAATAATAGAGAGAGAAAAATTTATATTTGAAGACAAGATGATATACGCTTGAATGAATCGTTTGAACAAATAGCGAAGAATAACTATCAGAAAATAAGCGATTCTTTGACTAAAAAAATATTCATACATAGATTAGTGTTACCACTTCCATACGACTTTCCTACTCACTACGTTCTCACGGCGGGGGGTGTTGCCTACGAAATTGAGAGGATGAAAAGCAAATGTTCGACGCTTCAACTGGGTTGGTGGATACGGAGAGTCAACCTAAGTGAGTTGGAAAACCTTCATTCCAAACCAATGGTGCACATGGCTGGCTCTAGTATCCTGAGAGAACAAATGGCGTATGAACCAGTCGCTGGTCATCGACTATCATGTGACTGCATCTTTTCACGTTGCTTAACTGCCTTGTGGGTCAGACCTTTAGGTTGAAGGCTCAGGATGTGGCCCCCTCAGAAAACCACCTGCTTCGGTTTGGACACCTGGACAGTATCCCAGCTGTCACACAAATCGAATGTTTATGTAGCGCATATATATTTGGTGCCTCCTTGTACCAATGTTTATGTGTGTAAATAAGATAAAAATAAATAACTTTCATATGAACTCCATGTTAAACAGAAAGATATGATAAAGAAATTTCATTGTAGATTAACATAACATATCAGAAAGAACTCTGCTGTAAGTCATATCAGAACCGACTATTCGGTCATATTACGAACTGGATCAGATAACGGCCGAACGAAGATATGACAATAAATCATGAAGTCACTAATTGTTGCTCACAGCCATGTTGATAAATTCAGATTATCCAGTCAGAGTTTATACTATAAACCACGATCAATGATTGATGACTTTGGATGACATATAATTCAGAAAGATTCACTCATTATAATTCTCTCGATCTGAAATCACAATGTTCCACTGTGTCTTTTTTTCATGAACCATATTTCATTAGTATTATTGCTACTACATTACTCTGATCTCTTATTTTTACCATTCATCTTATCACTTTCATCTCGTCATGATAATCCGATATGACAGCTTGAGCCAATACATATCTAATGATAGATTCTATGTTTCTGATGCATGTCTGTCTCAAAGCTCTTAGCCATATAATCCTTATGGTTTCGGTCAATCAACAGTAAAACGTCATGGACTAATCACCACCACCTAACTTATCCAACCAGTCCCAATATCAATAAACAACAACCCATATAATGCAAGTAGCAACACTATTACACTAGAACTGGTAGTTCAGCATAATAACACTCATACAATTTACAAGGGCGCATTAAATACATATGCGCCATACAAATCATTCAATTTGTATAAGGGCTGGGATAATGCCCGGATGCCCAGATCGAAGCAGGTGGTATTCTTATGGGGCCACACCCCCTCATCCAATTTAGATCTTCATTATGTTCAAAAACACAATACACGATTTCAATGTGATTTACACGGTATTCCCATCAGATATCAATAAGTCTTACGGAGATAATGATGTTTAAAATTGATGTCTTATATTTTTCCTTTATTTAGAACTATTTGAACTGATGTATTTTACACCTCTTGTCAAAACATCGAGAAACAAGAAGATTGAAAATAAATAAACTATAATCAATAAGAACTTGTCATTCATTTAACTGCTATTATCACTCCAGTACTATACGTCAAAATAAGAGATATTTAGCAACAAAAAATGTTAAGCAGCTTTGACTCTTTAAATAACATCTCCAAACCCTAATCTTCCCGATTACTGCTTATACTCTTTCCACCTCTACCACTACGGGATTTGAATCGACAACTGCATCTCTGTGCTAAGGTGGTGTGGCAACTCGAACTGATGTACGTACGTACGAAGTTCTACGTTGCTACTGACTGACTGACTGACTGACTAAGCAGCTTTGAATATTGATAAGTGTAGACCTACATGAGTATTATATAATCATTGAATTCTAATATACATTTTAAATATATGTACTAACAAAAAGTATGATTACCCATGAAAAGAAATTATACTATAGTAATAAACCTATATTATAATATATTATAATATGTCCTATTAATTACATCATTCCAACATGGAAAGACCGTACACACACAAAAAACATTATCTTAGTATATATTTTACCGGGGTAACCATGACATAAAACATCAATAGGAGTTGCACGTTTTGTATCACCGATTTTCTGATAACGTTCACGTAGATTTTCAGCTTTTAAACCTTGCCAAGGTAGACTACCACGTAGAAAATATAAAAACATATGACCTAAGGCCTCTAAATCATCACGTCGAGATTGTTCTGAAAAAAATAACAACAACAACAACAATGAAAAAGGAAACATTAAAATCAAATAAGGTTACAATTAGGCAATGATGATTCGCAGTAATGCTTGATTGTTCATGGAATATCGATGATGATGATAATAATAAAAATAGTAATAATAATGATAATATCAACTGACAAATATTGTGCCAGGTTAGTGTAAGCAAATTGGATCGGATTCTATGAATCTAAGGTGACCCATACTGACTTTGACTACCAAATTAAATTAACAAGTATGTAATACTAGTCAGTCAGTTATGCGCAACGTGAAACTTGGCACATATATGTATTGGTTCAGGTCATCATACCAGATTAAAACAGTAAGATGAAATTATCAAAACAAATACCAGAGTGTTAGAAGTAGTAACAGTATCAGTGATGGAAGAAAACATGGAGTCACTTAAGAAGCAACTTCCTCTTAATGGGTTGACAAAAAACTCATCCAAAATAAAACTCAATACATATGATAAATGGGAACTGAAGATAATTGGAGAAGGAGACCAAATATACAAATTCATGAACGAAAGCTGTAACGGAATATTTGGAACCACAAAGAAAATGGACAGTTATTAGAAAAAATGATCACACTTCAAGCAAAACCAAAAACAAACGTGATCGAACTCAAATGTGCGCTCATTGCACTGAAAACCTATGGGACAAAAGGGTGACTATGAACGACCCATAACTCAAATGGAAGATGCAACCCAAAAGACTAAAACAAATATATAGTCAAGCGAATCAAATCATAACAATGAACATTAATGCCCATCCGAGGTCTTTAAAAAACATCGTTCCAACACAGAAAGGAATTATCAATCAGTGTACAAATGGTCGGCAATTATCTAGCAAATAAAGCCAAGAAAATGTAAAATAGAAACAACTGTAACACCCCGGTAGTTGTCCCGTGTTATAACTCATTGATGTTTCCAGAAAAACCAACCAGTTTTACCAAACCAGGGGGACTGGAAGGGACACCACAGGAAACAGTATCAGTAGTGGTAGTAAAAATGATTAAGTACATACGATATTCTTCAAAAAGATTTCAGTTAATAAATTTATAGTTTACTCAAGACTCAAAAGGAACATAACTTTATATGACATTATCACCAAAGAGCAACTAAACAATAATAATTCAGAATGGGTTTTGTGGAGATTTTTAGAGTCCCATACTAGGGACGAAACGGCCGTCCAGTGCTTCCAGGTTTTCCATGGTGGTCTAGCTTTAACTGGCTCATGATTTCAACTTGTGAAATAATAATTCAGTCAAATGACGTGTTTGTCCAAAGTTTAATTCCAAACTTTGAAGCAACCAAACATATTTTAAGTAGACAGACACAAGATTAATTTTGGAGATTCTAAGCAAGACACGTAACGGCGGTTTCCCTGCGTGGGTTTGAATCCCATACCCGTCGCCAGTTGTTATAACTTGTGACCGCCGATTAGAGGGCAGTGGCTTATCGATCGAACCAAGGACGCGGAAACACGTGAGAGCAGCCTAGAGTTCTGATTGGTCCTGCTTTCCGCCTAGCCCAGCCAGTTAAGTCCAAAACACCAATCCGAGCCTCTGTGATATGAATCATCATACTTCAAACATACTGAGTTTATATACCAATCAAACCGATCACAACGTACCAATAAAATAGGAAACAACATTTGTACAAGAATTAGTCAGATGTGGTCGTGAATGAGGGAGGTAGTAATTAATATACTGAGTATAACTCAAGAATGGTAAAACGTATAATAATAGTTTATGGGTCAAAATAAAGCTTATAATAAAGGGAATATGAATATGCATAGTTTAGTTACTTAATAATTATACAATAGAAATATACGTTTAGTATTGCTCCATAAATGGATCCCAAAAGTCACCATTCATTATTCTTATCGGGACATAGCAGAGAACAATTTAAAAGCAAGCTTGATACGAAATAGCTACAATTTGTAAACACCAAACTGAATGCCTGAACACCGATTACCATGACGCTCAATGATGACTAGTGTTGGAGACGGTTGGAAGAAAGTTAAGGTCGATCAAACCAAAATGTGGGATCAGTCCTTGAAGTCACTAACTACTGGTCTGAGCCATGTTAATGGATACAAACTACTTGGTTGGGGTCCGCACGACTATTGTAGCTAATGATTGGAGACTTTGGGTGATATGGCTCTGAATCGACCACAATAGTGTAGGCGTATACACTCTCTCTGTCTTCCCTGAAACTAAGGGATTAAAATCGCTTCATGTCGTTCTATGAACTAATTCTCTCTTCCTGTACTATATCCTTATATGCAATCTTTCTTTTATATATTATCACCATTGAAGTAAGTACTTCAATGAATCTGGTGTTGAAAACCAGTTAATCAACTAATAATCACCAAACGATTTAATAAATAATACCAAACTTCTAAAGTAATTAGGCATTACAAAAAACTTATTAATTAATTTCAGAAGGGGTTTTTATGGATATTATAATAATTCCAAGCGTTGAGTTCATGAGTCAGTTGAAGCTAGACCACTATGAAAAACCTGAAAGCACTGGAGGGCCGTTTTGTCCTATTGTGGGACTACTCAACAATGCGCATCCATGACCCCACCTCGCGAGATTCAAACCCAGGTTTAGTGGTTAAGCGCTCACGCACAAGACGGATAGGTCCTGGATTCGAAACTCGCGAAGAGGGATTGTAAATGCACACTACTGTGTCCCACAATGAGACGAAATGGCCGTCCATTGCTTCCAGATTTTTCGTAGTGGTATAGATTCAATTGATTTATGAGCTCAACTATTAAAATTAATTATATATATACATATATAATATTTACCTTTGCCTAAATGTGTATTAATACTCATATAACGTGCAGTACCAGTAAGACTTTTATGTTCACGATAAGGAATGTGTTTTTGAGTTTCTGGATCAATATATTCTTTAGCTAAACCAAAATCAATGATATATATAGTACGATGTCTATTATAATATTGACGTCCAATAAGAAAATTCTCTGGTTTAACATCACGATATATTAAATGCTTTGAATGTACATATTCAATACGTCGAAGCTAAATGAGTTTTAAGAAAAAAGAAAGAGAAAAACAATAATAATAATAATAATAGTAATAATAATGACCGTAAAGAGAAAGAAAAGTAAAAAAAAAAGTAGGAAGTAGGACCAATTGAGTAATAAATAAAACTGAAGTTCATTCACTAGATTCTTTCCATATATAAATACATAAATTACTAGTTAGTTAGTATAATTATAGAACAACTTAAATGCCAAAAAATAAGACTGATAGAAGAAATGTTTGATTTTTTTGGAAATAGAAACTATGTACGAGTAAATCATATAAGTATTTTTTTGTACTAAACATAGTGTATAGCATTTTACAATCTGTACAATATTTCAGATATATTCTTTCAATGAAATCTAAAGACTCTCAGTAAATTGGTCAGTTTAGTTCATGTAAAGTCTGGCACAAGCGTCAGTTAGCAACAACCTAGAACTTCGTATGCAAGTACATCAGTTCGAGTTGCCATACCATATTACCAGAGAGATACAATTATCCATTCAAATCACATAGTGGTAGAAGTAATAAAAGTACAAACAGTAATCGCGAAGATTAGATTTTGAAGATGTTAGTCAATGAGTATAATCCAGTGAAGTAAATTTGGAAAGAAAACAAGTAAAGGGACATGAAGAATTCAGAAAATTAGAATTTGGGAGAACACAAAGGGTGGATGCACCTGCGCCATTGCAAACGATTTTGAACCCTGTCATTCAAGATCTCTAACCATCAGTTGCTATCATCTCGCGGTCCCCAACCAGGTGGTCTACACTTACCAACATGACTCAGTCCACTTGTCAGTGACTTCATGGACTTGTGCCATGTTTTGGTCTGGCCGCCCCTAGCTTTCTTCCAATCTACTCCTATACAACAAAACATCGCACATCGAGGAAGTCGATGGTTGGGCATACGTAACATATGTCCCAGCCATCTCAACTGATGAAGTTTCACTACTTCATCAATTGATTTGCCATCCTTACCTAGTACCCGTTTCCTAACAACTGAGTTACTTACTCGATGGTCCCATGATATATGAGCAATGTTTCGAAGACACCTATGATCGAATACTAGTAACCTACGAATATCCTCTACTCTTACCGGCCATGTTTCACTGCCATAAAGTAGGACGGAACGAACTGCTATGCAGTAAACCTGTCCTTTGGTTGGTAGATGGATATCTTTCCTACGCCACAAATGACGCAAGTTGGCAAAGGCTAGTCGAGCCTTCTGTATCCGTGCTGAGATTTCTTCACACACCAGACCACAAGGGCTGGTGAGACTCTCAAGATAATTGAAGCAGTCGACACGCTCAACTACTTCACTCCCTATCATTAGTTCGGGTGTCGATGCAACCCAATCCTGAAGTAACATTTTGTATCTCGAATGGGAGAGTCGCATCCCGAACATTTTTCCATTGTTGCTTATAGTGGTCAAAAGACTCTGCATTTTGTCAGCGTCTTCACCAAATAGGACACAAGTGTAAATTGATCCTAGCTGTCATATCAGATTAACATGACGAGATGAAGATAACAAGATGAATGGTAAAAACAAAATATCGAAGTAATATAGTAGCAATAATATTAATGAAATACTAAACATTGGGAATATGGTTCGAGAAAAAAAGACAGAGTGGAAAAGTATGTAAGAAGGAACATTGTGATTTCAGATCAAGAGAATGATAAGGAGTGGATGGATTTGTACCACTGTGAATCTTTCTGAATTATATGTCATCCAAAGTCTTCAATCACTGATCGTGGTTTATAGTGTAAACTCTGACCGGATAATCTGAATTTATCGACATGGTCGTGAGCAATATTTAACGACTTCATGGTTCAGTGCCATATACTGGTTTGGTGACACTTAACACAATGAATGATTATGTTAACTTCATGATTTCAGGAAACTGATGATTTACAGATAGGAAGAAATGCGCGTCCTAGACTTCACTATTAGCCCCATTCCATCTATTCTATTGACTTTACTAGTTGTGGAATACTTTCATTTTGTGTAGTGATTATTTGTGGTTGGAAGTGAAAACAACTTACTTACATGGTTGGTCCTTTTAATCATCTCTTTTCAGATAATAGACTCATTGAATCCAAAAATAAACTTTCAACAAAAAATAAATTCATGATAATTAAATAGTTCAATTTGTTATACTTCTTAGCAGCATATGAAAATGAGTATTTGAAACACATGTTAAGATGAAAAGAACGATTAGGATAATTAAAAAATATAACCATATCGTTAGGAATGTTAAACACTTTCTCCAACCACTTAATTTTCCCCAGTTGGTCGGAAGACAGGTCATTATTAACGGAGTTGTACGGGACATATGTTATATATGTGAATAGCCGCCACAAATCCTCATAAGCCAATAAGACTAGTAAATAAGTAAGCTAGAAAACCGAAGGTGCTAAAACTCGGGAGTGGAACAGTTCATGAAGTCAGTAATTACTGATTTACAATTGTGTGATGGTTAATGACACTATTCTGTTTGCAAAGAAAAGTATGCGGATAAGGATTCGTACACGAGATCGAAAGGCTGAAGGTTGTGTTTTACGAAAATGGGAGGACGAAAAGCGAATGTCCGGCGCTTTAACCGGATTCCAAACCAATGGGACACATGGGCTCCAGTATCCTGTGGGAACCAACGGCGTATGAACCAATCGTTGGTCACCGGCTACCATGGGACTGCATCTCCTCACGGTGCTCCACTGCCTTGTGGATCAGACCTTTAGGTCGAAGGCTCGGGAGGTGGTCCCCTAAGAAAACCACCTGTTTCGGTTTGGGCACCCGGGCAGTATTACAGTCTTCACACATATCGAATGAGATTTGTGTGGAGCATATGTATTTGGTGTCTCCTTGTACCAATATCTATGTGTTAAAATAAATAGTAATAATGACATGGCTTAGATTCTTCCATTAGAGCAGATACGCTACTCTTTGTATTCTTCTAAATCTTGAGCCCCAATTTTATTTCGTACATTTTAGAAATGACAAGACAATCTATGTATAAATAAATTCTAAAACGATCAAATGGAAGACATACCAGCTGGATTGCTATCATCAGTACAGTTTTCAAAGAGAACTGACGTTTACATGATTCAAATAGATCTTCTAAAGATGGACCAAGCAATTCCATTACAAGCGCATTATGTCGGCCTACTGGTCCAAAATAATAAACCATTGGAAATCCAACAACACCACCACTTAGAAGTATACGATAAAATCGATACTCTAAATGCAATTGAGGAGCACGAGTTTTCATCGGTTCAAGTTTAATGGCAACATATTCATTGGTATACAAATTACGACCTAAACAAAAGTTTCGAACAAAAACGTCAAAAATGAAAATAACAATTACTTTGATGATATTACAAAATAATAATTTACAACAAACTTTAAACAAACATCGTTAAAAATCTTTTTTCTCCAAAGAATGCTACTGTAATATTTTCCACTAATTAAGATCACTTGTAGTTCTGTGATGTGTGCTACTGATGTCGACAAATATAAGTAGTATGTACCACCATTCGAAAGTGGAATGCTTGGTGGCAGAAGGTTGAGAAAACCTAGGAGGAAAGACCAAGAACAGAGAGTGATTGAGATGGAAATGAAGAAACAACAAAGTTGGAGACAATTGATGGATACATTGCAAATGAAGTATTTACTGTATGGTTCTCAGATTTTACTAAGATATTCTGTAATCTTATATTAAAATACATTTGGTTATCCCCACTGGTGTTCTCGTTCACTACAGTTACACTTCATAAACAGAATTACATTCAATGCTTTTGTAGAATTAATTCCCTAATTTTATTAAAAGCTTGGGGAAAATGTAGACGAAGTTAAATCGTACTTTACAATCGCTAAAACTAATAAGGTTACATAATCAAATATGGCATGATTTACTAAAGTAAATTCTTCCACATCTCTTTCTTCTCTTAAACAGTGTCATTCGTAATATTGTCTAATAAAGGTTCATAATAACAACAATGTATTGGTATGAGACTTGGAAAGATATTATCAAATTTATTTACTTAAACGGCAATCCTTAATTTGTCAGCAATTAGTATATGATAACGCCTACTGGAGCCACTTTGAGGCTACTTTCGGTCCCAAGCCCGGATAAAGGAGGAGGGTTGGGCATGGGGCTAGCGACCCCATCCCGTAGAAAACTAACTCACAAAAAATCGCTAACCAGAGAAACTATAGTATATGATAATAGAGCTATAGAAGTATTACAAATAAAGAATGCAAACAAATATCAGATTTTATATGAAATAGATAAAATGAATAAAGATCTACACATATTATACTCAATTTTTAATTGATTATTTTCACAAAACTATGTGTGGTGCATGCTACTTATACTAACAGGTACAAGTAGTATGTAACCGCAATCGGATGTAGTACCTGGCAAAAGAAGATTGAATTGAAGAGAAAAGAAAGGAAGTTGAGAAGTAGTCAAAATAACGACAGAATTAGAGGAATAATAGAATACGTAAAGGTCAAATGATGTAAGATGTGCAAATGATGTACTTAATATATGATTATCATATCTTACTAAGCCATTGTGTAATTCTTGCACTCAACAACATATTGATTTTCCCACCCGAATTCTAGTTGACTACATGTGGATAAGAATAATTTTTGCTTGTCGCATCTACAACGCAAAAAAACAGTTCATTTCTGCAGTATCAGTCAGTCAGTAACAACATAGAACTTCGTACGTACGTACATCAGTTCGAGTTGCCACACCACATTAGCACAGAGATGCACTTGTCGATTCAAATCCCGTAGTGGTAGAGGTAATAAGAGTATAAGCAGTAATCGGGAAGATTAGGATTTGGAGATGTTATTTAAAGAGTATAATCCAGTGAAAGAAATTTGGAAAGAAAACAAGTAAAGGGACATGAAGAATTCAGAAGATTAGAATTTGGGAGAACACAGAGAGTGGATGCACCTGCGCCATTGCAAACGATTTTGAGCCATGTCATTCAGGGTCTCTAACCATCGGTTGCTGTCATCTCGCGGTCCCCAACCAGGTAGTCTACACTTACCAACATGACTCAGTTCACTTGTCAGTGACTTCATGGACTTGTGCCATGTTTTGGTTTGGCCGCCCCTAGCTTTCTTCCAACCTACTCCTATACCACTGAACATAGCACGTCGAGGCAGTCGGTCGTTGGGCATACGTAACACGTGTCCCAGCCATCTCAACTGATGAAGTTTCACTACTTCATCAATTGATTTGCCATCCTTACCTAGTACCCGTTTTCTAACAACTGTGTTACTTACTCGATGGTCCCATGATATATGAGCAATGTTTCGAAGACACCTATGATCAAATACTAGTAACCTACGAATATCCTCTACTCTTACCGGCCATGTTTCACTGCCATAAAGTAGGACGGAAGTGAAACATGGCAGTATATTCAGTAAATAACTGCACTACAGGGGAAGAATACGCATAACAGTCCAAAAACTAAACTAAGACAAATCCTGGGTTTTGCCATGACATGAACCTTTCGGCTAGAATACCTACTCAAAATACGTTTATTAGAATTGATACTTCCTTTTGTCAGATACAAATATACAAATTATGTACAGAAAGGATTAATATCTTAGATAAATGTGAAGAATAAGGTACTGACCAAGACGAAGTTCCCCGAAGTTCCCACAACCAATCTTCTTTCCAACACGGAAATTTGGACCGACCAGCAGCGTATTTCCTTCCCGTGAAGAACGTGGTGCATCTTGTTGCATATTATTCTGCTTTCCTGAATGTTGACGTTCTTCTTTTTCTGAGAAGTTGTACCAGACCCTCGATGACCTCGGTTACTAGTTGAGGTCTGGTTGGTTTGCTGTGTTAACATTCCACTCTCAGAATCAAAATGCAGATCCCGTGCATTTGAGTAACAACTGGTTGGTCATATTTTTAACATACACCAATAGAAAACTGAAATGGTAAGAAAATGAATTTGGAATTATTCAAATGATCATAAAGATTTAGACAGTTGGTTAACTTGGAGAAACGATGAATTGACTCACAAAAATACTTGAAAAAAGGCATTAAAAAAGCTGGTAACGAGGATTCAAACATGACCAGTAAATAACCAGCCCTCCAGCAAAAAGTAAATCCAGATAGTTCTACGACCCACTAAGGTATGTAACCCCCGGATTATTTTTGGTGTCATGTCTTAATAGAATTACTCCTTATTTCTATCGTTACTTTTTGCAAATCAACGGTGTTTTACCCCGCCATAATAGTAAAAACTAAGACAAAATATCTTATTTGAAGCAAGTCTAGTCGTCTTAGATAATTCTCTCCATTAGATTAGGTAAGCTGTAGTCAGTATATTCATATGACTGATCTGAAAATAAATACAACTTATGGGGGATATTTCCCCGTTGTTGATAATTTGGAATTACAATTAATCAGCCTCTATTAGCAAATGTCCATCCTAAGCCGATGCCATGATATTGACTTTTCATTACAAACTTCTAGATCTGAATAATAGCTAGGAGTGGAACCCAGGACGATCATATCATCTCACCTGGGACTCGTCACCCGAACCAATCTGTATCTCAGCAAATGTTGGGAAACCTAGGTAGTATGGCTCAGATTTTACCATTGTTATTATTCAAACACATAAACACTGGTACAAAAAAACACCAAAAATCCTCATACAATAAAAATGAGATTGTGAGGAGATAAAGGAAGGTGAGTATAATGACAAAAAAGGACAAAAATGAATAATAATAGTAATAATAATCATAATAATAATGACAATAGTAATGGGAGAAGCAGTTCAGCTAAGAAAACTACGAACAGAAAGAATTCCTTCAGCTAAAGAAGTTGCTCTCACTTTTATGAAGAAAGCAAAATAAATTTGCAGTAGGGTCGTCACTGGCTTATATTCTGAGTCGTGTCTGATGTCTAGAGCCACTGTGTTGCACCATCAGACCCCAACCAAGTAGTCGTGAAGGACCAGTGGAAGCCAGTCCCGTACAGCTTGCTTTCATACCGCGACACTATACTAAAAGCTGACCGTTCCTCCGCTTTTTTCAACCAGTTTGAGTCGGCAAGTAATTCAAAATGTGGAATTTACAGGAACGACAACGTAGCACATGTCCAAGCCATAGAAGTATGCGTATCAAGATGGTAATGCCAACCGAATTATCGTCACTGCATCCGAATGTACGTTGTCAAACCCCCTCATTGCCAACATGGTATTGCCACTGGATGTCAGCAAGCATTCGAAGACAATGATGATTAAACACAAAGAGTCACTTAACATGTCCGACTCGGCTACGTTTCACAAGCATACAGCAAGATTACTCTCGCCGACGCGTTGTAGGTCCGACCTTTTACAGCTAGACCAACATCACGAAGACGCTAAAGATGACCCAGATTGGAAAAAAGCGCTCTGGCTTTCACTATACGTAAATTGATCCCATCACTCACGCCACCACCAGCACATACACAACTTCCCCGACACATGAACTTCTCGACTAATTCTATTTGCTCACTACCAAGAATGTGTGCAGGCATAGGGTCCTACCACCCCCGTAAAAGTACTTTGAGCTTAGGTGCGAAGTACTTGGGTATCGTCAAGCAATAAGACGATATCATCCGCATATTTAAGGCCGAAAGTTTTTCTCCAAGTAATAGGTGCACACCATAATTACCTACATCCGTCAGAGCCATCTTTAGAACGTCATAGATGGCAAATTTGAAGAGGAATGGCGAGAATGGGCAACCCTAACTAACTCTACTGTTTGGATTAAATAATAGAGAGAGATATTTGTATGCCCTCACTATACCTGAGGTATTTGTTTATAAGGCTCTTAAGATGTTAATGAGCTGTTCAGACACACCATTCAATAGACAACCCTAGACAACAATCCTGCCCAGAGAGTCGAATGAGGACTTTTTGTCAAGAAACACAAATTATTGGCCCGGAGTAAGTATGAAGATGTTATAGCATTTGGTGGAGGGTGAAGATGTGATCAACACATCCTCTACTAGCCTACTCTTGGTTTTCGGTCAGGAGTATTAGTATATCTTCCACTAAATTTGTGGGTGTAGTACTACATTTTCTTTTTCTTTTTAACCCTTCCCTCTGAATTATTTATTCGGTATGCTATTTTTAACACCTGAATTGATATTTTTCATTTATTTGTTTTTAGCCTTGTTGATATTCTACCCTTATGTTAAAATTAAGTGGGGAAACTTGAGTCCCGACTCCTGTTGTTTACCTATGAATGATAAAGATGGGGAATATTTGTCGGTTGTACTCAAATAGACAGCTAATAAATCAACCCCGTCGGATGTCTAACAAACTCATCATCAATTATGAAATGATTTGACTAAAGGTACATTTCAACCCTTGACAGCTAACTGATGATTAGTCAGATGAAGGTGTATCTACTTCCTTCAATATGGCATTTCTTCAAGTTGTTAATTTATCTTGCTTATGATGTTCAACTTTCAATTGTTTGAAATTGCGTCCTTCGAATCAAATAATATTGAAAAGGAGCGTGATATTTTGTCCTACTCTAGTTTAGAATGGTCGCAAGTCCGGTTATTATATTTGAAATGTTTCTCGTAAACCAGGTTTGGTGGAGTAGTACTAGTAGAGTTTTACAGGAAAAACGAAGGTTTTGCTGGTTAACTTTAATAATAAAGTAGTACTAAAGTTCCGAGTTAGCATAACATGCTTTCTAGAAGTACATTTTATCTAAATTCCTTAGAACACGCTTTTGATTAAATTAGTTTAAACCACGTGAACATATACAGTTCAACTATTTCAAGATCACGGTATACCGTGAACTCGATTTCAGCAGAAGACAATGGTGAGGTTCAGTCAGTCAACTACAGAACCTGTACGTATATACGTCGGTTCAAGTTTCCACAGTCCATTAGTACAGAGAGACTTCAGGTAAAATCCCAGAATGGTAGAGGTAATAACATTATCAGTGGTAATAAAAAAGATTAGGTGTCAAAGATATAATCTGAAAAGAAATATAAATTAGTGAGATGAAAACCAAAAAGAGATACGAGGAATTTGAAATCTCAGAATTTGAAGGAAGACAAAGAATGAATGCACTTGTGCCAGTGCAAGCGATTTTGAGACATTTGATTCAAAGTCTCTAACCATTGGTTACAATTATTCACAACAATCTACCTAATGCTCAATTTATCTGAAACTATCAAGTCAAGCCTTGGTAATGACACCCACATTAGTTACAATAATCACGCGGTCCCAAATCAAGTAGTCTATGCCTATTAACAAGGCTAAATCCAATAGCAAAGGTTCTATCTAATAACGAAAATAAAGGCCAGTAAATGTACAACAGACTAAGCTACACTGAAAAAATAACCAGTAGTCATCTCCATTGCCCCCGAATGCCCTGGTACGGCTGAGAGTGGGGAGAGTTCGCTCTTCCTCTCGAAATGCTCTCACATGGCCACGCGTATATAGCCTCTGCCAGAGAAGTTATACTCACTGACTTCTCGCACCACGGTGTTGCTTACGAAATTGAGAGGACAAAAAGCGAATGTCTGGCGCTTAAACCGGGTTGGTGAACATGGAGAGTCCACCTAAAGGAGTTGGAAAACCCTCATTTTGAACCAATGGTGCACATGGACTCCATGATCCTGAAGGAACAAGTGCTGTATGAACCGATTATTTGTCACCGGCTACCATGAGACAGCATCTCCTTATGTTGCCTTATTGCGTTGTGGATCAGACGTTGACGTCAAAGGCCGTGGGTGTAGGCCCCTGAGAAAACCACCTGCTTCAGTTTGGGCACCCGGGCAGTATCACAGCCCTCACGCATATCAAATGAGATGCGTGGCTCATATGTACTTGATGCCTCCTTGTACCAATACATATGTGTTAAGTAAATAAATAAAAAGTCATCTTCATTACTAACGGTAAACTAGACTCCAACAGTGCAGAAATATGTATATTGTGCTTAGTATCTGACTCCTGTTTGATCGGACAAAGATGCTATGAACGCAAATCTCCCCTTTAACTCCATATATTACCTAGGCTAAACCCGTCTGTGACAGCGGCAAAAAGAAGTCAAATACGAGTGAAGTCGGAGAAACCCATTTTAGGCATTCGTTTATCCGGACAGATATTCAGAATAAGAAGAGGCAAAGAGGAGAGAGAAAAGCGAAACAAAATGACGCGAAGCGGAGAGGGTCAGTGGGCCAACTCGGCTTAATCAAGCGTATCTTGATATTTATGGTTAAACAAAATTAAGTTGCAGACACATGATGAATAGGGTAAGTAGTTAACACACATACCATAACACAAAAAGGTTAATAATCGAATAAGTGACAAGGTAAAAATGTGAATTGAGAAGAATGAATAAATTGTTCTGTCCAAGAGTTAAATAGCCTGTGTGGGTTTGACACAGCACCAACCACTACATGCACACTTAAGTAATAGACTGAGGTGGATGCTGAGGCTGAGGCAAACATTTACAGAGGAAACCCAGATTAAAAATCTGGGTACATTAGTAACTAATATGGCCTGTTCATTAAGTCCATGTCTAGGCACTTGGATTTAAGACACACTGAACAGGATAATGATGGCAAATGATTCCTAGAATCGAAGTATTTGGGACCGGACTGAAACCCCAATAAATCATTGATCCACATCAAAGTGTGAGTCCAAATAAACAAAGGACACTGATTCCCTGTAGAATAATAAAATTATCCTCTTATTACTATGTTGCTAACAAATCAA